AGACAGGGCCCTCTTTTTTTTTTTTTTTTTTTTTTTTGGTACTATTGTTAGCGTTTGAACTCGCAGCGGCCTTGTTGCTTAGCTCCCCAAGTGCTGGAATCACAAGCCGATGTGAGCTATCCTGCCTGATCAAATTCAACAGCTTAATTTTGGTATCCTTGGAAGCTTGGTGGCTGGTTGATTGACAGATGATAGTGGGGTGAGGGCAGTAAAAAAGATAAAAGAACACGTGAGAAAGGGAAGACAAAAGGAAAATAAAACATTCGGGGAAAGCCAGCACAGGGAGACAGGAATTTCTTGGGGTTTGTTTTGGGAGGCTTTTTGGTATAATTTGGTGGGGTTTTTTTGTTTGTTTGTTTGTTTGTTGTTGTTGTTGTTGTTTGAGACAGGGTTTCTCTGTGCATCCCTGACTGCCCTCAACCCTCTCTGTAAATCAGGCTGACCTCAAACTCTCAGGAATCAGCCTGCCTCTGCCTCCTGAATGCAAGGATTACAGGCGTGTACTACCACAACATGGCCTGAATTTCTTGGTTTTGTTTTTTATTAAAAATTAATATTTGCCTGGCAGTGATGGTGCACACCTTTAATCCCAGCACTTGGGAGGCAGAGGCAGGCGGATTTCTGAGTTCGAGGCCAGCCTGGTCTACAGAATGAGTTCCGGGACAGCCAGGGCTGTACAGAGAAACCCTGTCTCGAACCCCCCCCCCCAAAAAAAAAAAAATTAATATTTGACCTGTCCTTTTGATTTGCTTTAACCTTTTTGCTGAAGCCTTCCCCGCCAAAACAAAAAAACAAACAAACAAAACAACAACAAAAATACTGTTTTTTAGGATGGATGTGGTAGCATACTTAATCCAAGTACTGGGGAGACAGAGGCAGGAGGTTCTCTGAATTCCAAGCCAGTTTGGTCTATCTAGCAAGTTCCAGGACATAAAGGCATGAACATGTTGCCATGGCTCTCTTGCAGAGATCTGCCTGTTCCTGCCTCCCTCATTCTAGGATTAAAGAAAGATCCCATGGCATGTCGTTATTATTTTTGAAATATTTGAGTATCTCATATGCCATATACAGAGATCTAAGGAACTGAGTCCTTGCGAAGAATGACCCACGGGTAAACCTTTTTCGGGATGTGGACTCAGACACCCCAAAACTAATGTTTATTGGAAAGAATATCAGACTGAGCTGTAGTGTCAGTTCTCTCTCCAAGTCTTGAGACATTCCAGATCTGACAATTCTGACTCACACCTTTCATCCCAGCACTCAGGAGGCAAAGGCAGGTAGGTGGATCTCTGTGAGTTTCCCACCAGCCTGGTCTACAAAGCAAGTTCCAGGACAGCTAGGAACCAAAAAGAAAAAAATAAAATAAACAAAGAAGTGGGGAGGCCATAGGAGCCAAAGGCAGAAGTCTGAGACCCTAAACCAGTCAGTCTGGGTGCTATCAGCTAATAGGATCATAAAAGCATGGAGGAAGGTCAGAGACTGCTACTGCCGCAGGAGTCTAGGGAACCTCAGTATCAAGTCACTGGAGCAGGCTGCCTAGCTCAGGAAGCCAGACCAGGGAAACTCTCCAGGCACCTAGAGGCATACACAGACAGTGACCAGAGGAAATGCATTTGCAATTCCCATGGCTACTTGTTGTTTTAGTTTTTATTTTTTCAGCTTGGGTTTTAGTATATCTGCAGGGCTGACCTTGAACTCTGTGTACCACGGGCTGGTCTCAAACTGGTGGCAATCCTCCTGCCTCCACCTTCCGTGCTGAGAGTACAAGCATGATCTCCTACTTCTTCATAGAGGTTACTGTTAAGTAGAGAAATAACTATTTCTTTAAATTTGATTTAAAACCTGATAGAAAAATGGATAAGAAAACTGAATAGGCTCTTTTTCATTTGAAGGTAAACTAATAATTAAACAGTACTTAATGATAGTATTTCTTATCCAGCCAGTGGGCAGTAACCCAAAAACTTGACATCTTCCTTATACTTTTCTTGGAATACATGTTTGTATCGTACTTGCGGCTAAGAATCTTACAGTGTTACTAAAATCATAAATGAATTGCCAGCAACTCCTTTTGAGAGAATATACTCTTTAGGACCAAAATTCCCAATGATTAATGACAGGATTTAATGTGGCCCAGGGTAGATTAAACTCCTGATCCTCTTGCCTCAGTTTCCCAACTGCTGGGATTATGGGATTACAGGCCTTAGTCACTTTTTTTTTTTTTAAGACTAGTGTATGATTTTCCTGTTTTGCAAAGTTTTTCTACTTATGGCTTGTCGAAAAAGTTTTTTCCTTGTAGGTGCTTGCCTTCTGTCTTTAGTATCACATGGTTTTGGTTGTTTGTTTGAAATCTGACCTCATACAAGTAATAATTTGGAAAAATGGGGAAATATTTTCCTGTAATCTTGTTAGCTGATTTTTTTTTTTTTTTGCATACTTGCAATAATTTTCATGTGTTTCTTATAGGTGCTGGGATTTTTAAGCCCATGGCTTCACACATGCTAGGTAAATATTTTACCAGTGAGCCACCTCCTCAACCTTGTTTTTTTTTCTTTTGCCTTTTTGATAGAAATCTCACACAGGCTGGAGAGATGGCTCAGAGGTTAGGGGCACTGACTGCTCTTCCAGAGGTCCTGAGTTCAATTCCCAGCAACCACATGGTGACTCACAACCATCTGTAGAGATCTGATGCCCTCTTCTGGTGTGTCTGAGAACAGCTACAGTGTACTCATATACCCAAATAAATAATTCTTTTAAAAAAAAAAAAAAAAAAAAGGAAAAGTAATTTGGTGCTGGAGAGATGGCTTAGCGGTTAAGAGCATTGACTGTTCTTCCAGAGGTCCTGAGTTCAATTCCCAGCAACCACATGGTGGCTCACAGCCATCTGTAATGGGCCCCATGCCCTCTTCTAGTGTGTGTCTGAACACAGCTGTAGTGTACTCAAATAAATAAGAAATACATCTTTAAAAAAAAAAAGAAATCTCACACAGGTAGACCTCGGACTCATCCTGTGACTAGTTAATCCCTGAACTAACTCCTGGCCCTCTAATTCTGCCTCAGCCTCCAGAGTGATGGAGATTACAGAATGAGCCACCTAACCTGGAAAGTGTTTTATGAAAAGCTCTACTTTGCTGGGTGATGATCCCAGCACTCTGGAGGCAGAGGCAGGCAGATCTCTTTGAGGTCAAGGCCAGCCTGGTCTATAGAGCAAGTTGTAGGACAGCAAGGACTACACAGAGAAACCCTGTGTTTGGGTGCTTTCCAAAACACCAATAAATAAATAAAATCTTCTACTCTAAGATATATGTAGCTGGATGTAGTGGCACATACTTTTAATCCCAGCACTCAGGATGCAGAACTGCATAGTGAGACCCTATCTAAAAACAAAACAAAAAAAGATATCCAAGTGTAATATTCTTTTTTTTTTAAGAAATCTATGTATATATTTTAGTTGTTTGAAACAGGGTTGCCCTCAAACTTGTAGATATCTGCTTGCCTCCATTTCCAGGATACTGGGATACAAAGTATACATAATTTCACCTTGAAATATTTATTTCACTCTTAATTAGGTGGCTTAGAGGGAGGACAGCCATGATGCAGGTATATGTACCTAAGTGTAGGCACCCAAGGAAGCCAGAAATGTTGGATCCCCCTAAGCTGGAGTTACTACTGGCTTTTGAGAAGTCCAGTTCTCTAGAAGAGCAGTACACACTCTTAACCTCTGAGTCAACTCTTTTACACCTAAATATTATAAGAAATATATTGTGTCTTAAATATTAATTCAAAAAGTAAAAGGATTCCCAGTTGTGGTTGTTGGGTCCCACCTATAATTCCATCTCCAGAGGGACTGAAGGAGGAGAGGTTAGTACACTGTGGATTCCAGGTTAGCCAGAGCTGCATAGGGAGGAAGACCCAATCTCAAGAACAAAACAAGCAAATTAAAAAACCAAAACACAAAAAAAAACAGAACAAAATGGCAGCTGGGGATGGACCTCAGTTGATTAACCCAATGCAGTTGTAAAGCTCTGGATTTTATCCCCAGCATCATAACAACCAGGTCTTGTGGCATCTGTCTGTAACCCAAACACCTCACTGGGAATGTGAAGTAAGGGGGATCTAGAGTGTGTGTTTGGGGACATGACATTATCAGAAGAGGTGGTCAGCAAAGGACTATGAGAACAAATGTGTATAAGGGATTGTCAGAGATTGGGACTCGGTGTTCTGATGTCATTCTGCAATGCTAGGTTAGATCAGAGAACTGATAGCATGCCTGTTTGTTTTTTGGTTTTGTTTGGTTGGTTGGTTGTTTTAAGTAAAATGTCCTTCACAGATGTCCAAGGGCCAATCTGACCTCAGCAATCCCTCACTGAGATCATCTCCCCAGGTGATTCTGATTATGACAAGTTAAATTATTGCAGTTACTGTGTGTGTGTGTGTGTGTGTGTGTGTGTGTGTGTGTGTGTGTGTGTGAGAGAGAGAGAGAGAGAGGGGGGGGGAGGGAGAGAGAGATCTCTTTTATGATGAATTCTAGAGTTATGCAAGCTGTAATATCATTGTTGCAAAGTTTACAGAGACCCAACTCTTAGGCCAGGTAGACCTGAACAAGCCTGAACACCAATACCACCAATACCTCTTTACACTGATAGTACTTATCCTCTAAGAGGCACTCAGAGAGCCCCACTGTCAGTCAGTCTCTCTCTGTGTCTTTCTCTGTGCCAGGAAAGTGAATACTGTGTTTGTGTATAGTCTGTTGACTTGTAGAGAAATGTGTTCCTCCATTGTTGCTTACAGTTAGTCTTTAAACCTATTGCTGAATTATCAGAAGACTTAAGCCCGTCTAGCCAGGAATTCTGCCATAACTCTGTCTCCTTCCTCACACAGCCCAGGACTACTGAAAAGCTAGTTAGATTCTGCACGGTAGCTCCTGAGGGTACCAAGTGGGCCTGCTTCAGATCACAGTAATACATTTACTTATCTCCTCCTGTTCATCGGCAGGAAAGAAGTTCACATCAGAAACAAGCAGTCTGGTCTTCATATGGTGGCACTGACCAGAATGTCCCAAGTACCCAAGCCCCAGATACCGTACAGAATCACAGAGGAGTCATACTGTGAGACACTTCCTGAACCATTGCAACTCTTCAGTGACAATGACCAAATCATAGTTTGCAGCAAAGGTTTCCAGTCTCCAGAGCACAAGCAGCATGCAGCATATGATATCCAAGAAGCTGCTGAGTACTACAGGGTAAGCTTTAAGGAAAATCTAAACGAGTCTGGCCAACTTCTGGATGATTTGATTGATTTGATGATACAGATATAGTGTTTCTCCAGAAATGATCCTTGAGTGTTGATTAAGAAATACCACAAGCTGGGTGGTGGTGGCACAGATCATTAATCCCAGCACTCTGGAGGCAGAGGCAAGTGAATCTCCAAGTTTGAGGCCAACCTGGTCTACAGATCAAGTTCTGGGACAGTCAGGGTTGGTTTCATAGAGAAATTCTGATTTTGGTGGGGGTGGGATGGGGAATCCTCCTATTCTCACACAGTGAATTTTCCTGAAATCCCATGATCTGTTTGTCTGCAGAAGTTATTCCAGGAAACCCTGGTTACACTGAGAAAAAAGCTTGAAGCAGCTAAGAGCTTACTGGCCGAAGAGCGAGAGAGAATGGTGACGATTCAGGTGATGGTTTATCCTGATGCTGGGGAGGGGGAACCTGCCATTAAGATAGCAAAGCAGGAGAAAGTATTTCAAGTCCATAATAAAGGAAAGAAGCTAATTACCTTTTATTTCCTTTTTTTTTTTTTTTTCAAGACAAGGTTTCTCTGTGTAGTCCTGGCTGTCCTGGAACTCACTCTGTAGACCAGGCTGGCCTCGAACTCAGAAATCCACCTGCCTCTGCCTGCCAAGTGCTGGGACTAAAGGCATGTGCCACCACTACCCGGCTGATTACTTTTAAGATTTGTTTTTATCCTTATCCTATTTAAAGATTTATTTTAAGATTTATTTATGCCGGGCAGTAGTGTCGCACGCCTTTAGTCCCAGCACTTGGGAGGCAGAGGCAGGTGGATTTCTGAGTTCGAGGCCAGCCTGGTCTACAGAGTCAGTTCCAGGACAGCCAGGGCTATAAAGAGAAACCCTGTCTCAGAGAAAAAAAAAAAAAAAAAAAGGTTTATTTACAAATATGTGTGGGCATATACATTTGGTGCCAAAAGAGATCAGCAATGGATTTTAAATCCCCTGGAGCCAGAGTGATGGGCATTGTGAGCCACTTGATATGGGTGACAAGATGTCTGGTCCTCTGCAAGGACAGCGCATGCTCTTTAAACACTTAACCAGCTCTCTATCCCAGAAAGTTAATTTCTTGATAAGGAATTCTTCAAAAGTGAAAGGAAAGAAAATTATTTTTTAAAAAATGACCAAAGAAATGAGAAAAGAAAGCGTAAATATCTTTTTGTATGTTGGAAATAAATCTTACTGCTTTCTTTTATTTTATTCTTTTTTCTTTTCTTTTTAATGTGATTTAAACAAACAAACAAACAAACAAAAACCAACAGTGACATACACCTGTAGCTTCCAAAGTTAGGAAGGAAAAGCTTGAACTTACATAGTGAAATTCGGAAGACATGTCTCAAAGGACAGCTCTCAAAAAGAGAAATCACATCACACATGTACACATATGTACACACATGGGCAGAGATGATGTGCCTCAGTTGGTAGAGTGTTTTGCTTTGAAAGCTCAGGGTTTGGTCCCCAGCAAAACCAGACATGGTGAGAATATCTGTAATCTGTAATCTCATTGCTAGAGAGGCAGAGGCAGGAGGGTCAGAAAGACATTCAAGGCCTTCCTCAGTTACAAACAAGCAAGTTTGAAACCAGACTTTATCCCACAAAGAACAAAACAAAATGTATTTGCTTAGGACTTTGCCCATGGAAGAGAAAGCTCCTGATGTTTTTAGCCATAGGTCATACTTTCCTTAGCTCGTTTGGTTTTTGACACTGGGCTTTCAAGTCGCTCACACTGGTCTCAAACACATCATTCCCCTGCCTCAGCTTCAGCTACCCTAAGACTACAGCCTCACACCTGGGCTGCTTCTTTGGCTTTATAAAGTCAGGGAACATCCCTCCATCCACAAAGTTGAGTTTATGAGTTTGTTGATACCTTGGTGAATCTTCACTGGATTCCCTTTCTCCTTCAGAGCTAGGGCTTTTCTTTCTTCCCTCGTGTTTCATGTCTCCTTGTGATTGTGCTGTGGTTAAACAGAGGTGCACAACTGTTGTCAGTTTATCCTGTTTAACCTGAAATCTGTAACCTCCCCATCTGGGAAAGGAAGAAGAACAGAGGTTTAAAGAGATGATTGAGGCCGAGTATAAGATGCGATTCCAGTTACTGACTGAAGAGAAAGAAGAAGAGTATTCGAGACTGCCAGCCTACAAAGTTGACCTGAACTTCAATGGACCTAATCAGGACCACCTGATGAAGTGTGGTACTGAGCTCATGCAGAAGTCCCAAGAAATGCTACAGGTGAGAGGCTATTCTGGATGGAGAGTAGCTAAGCAAATGTATCCATTCCCAATAAATTATCCAGTGACACGTAGCAGTGGGGGACACCTTTAATACCCACACTTGGGAGACAGAGACAGGCGAATCTCTGTGAGTTTGAAGCCAACCTGGTCTACAGAGTGAGTTCCAGGACATCTAGGGCTACCCAAAGAAATCCTATCTTGAAAAAGAAAACCAAAAAATGTATCCAGTGACAACCATGTATATAGAGTGTACTCGTGTACTTACTTGCAGTTCTTTCAAAAGATTCTGTTCAAACACACATATAAATAGAGAAGCAAGGAAGGAGAGAGGCCCATACATTTATTTATGTATATTCATTATCTCATATTACACTGCTAATATACTTGCAGTCATGGAAAGACACATGGCTAAGACAGCACTAATATTGTTTCCGTCCAGAGCCACATTGAGAGAATTAACCTCAGAAGACTCGCAGGGATCTTATTGATGGTTTAGTAGTTACTAGCTTTTAGGTAGCCTTGGGCCTGTGTGGCTCAGTGTCTAACCTAGTTTCTTTAGCTGTGAAATGGAAATAACAATGGCCTCTAGTTCATAACGTTGCTGTGAGGTTTGGCTGAGATAATCTACAGAGAGCCTCTAGACAGTGCCTTGTACGTTTTCAGCAGTCCATAAATAGCAGGCACTGTGATTACAGTTGGGATCTTTAATGGCAATGGGAGATTAAATATAACCTATAGGCGTCTATAAGAGGCTTGCAGAATGGGCTGCAGCTGTATTAAGGCATACTGCTTGTCATGAGGACTAGCTAACATGACTGTGTGTCACTGAGGAATTCTCCAACACAAGAAGTAATTTCCCAAATGAGAAAAAAAAAGCTTCTAGTTTTGTTTTGTTTTGTTTTGTTTTTCTAATTGATACAACCATGGACAGGTAGAATATATTTAGGAAGACAAAAAGGAAAACCAGTTATCAATGGCATTATTATTATTATTATTATTATTATTATTATATTTTTATCATTTGGTTTTTTCGAGACAGGGTCTCTCTGTATAGCCCTGGCTGTCCTAGAACTCACTCTGTAGACCAGGCTGACCTCAAACTCAGAAATCTGCCTGCCTCTGCCTTCCAAGTCCTGGGATTAAAGGTGTGCATGCGCCACCACTGCCTGGCTAGTGGCCTCATTATTTAAGCATCTCTGCTAATTATTGATTAAAGTATCAATTTTAAAATTTGTTTTCAAGTAGGCAGGCATGCTGGTACATGCCTGTTATCCTAGCACCCAGAAGGCAAAAGCATGTGGACCTCTCTGACTTCAAGGCCAGTCTGTACTACTTAGTGAGTTATGGAACAGCCAGGGTTGTGCAAAGAGATGCTGTCTTCAAACAAACAAACAAACAAAAAAGTGTTTTTGAGATAGTCTCACTATTCAGCTCCAGCTGGCCTAAAGCTTGCTTTATAGACAGGTTGGCCTTGAACTGATAAAGACACCCGCCTCTGTCCCAGAGGGCTGGAATTAAAGGGATACCATGCCCTAAATTATAATTTTAATTCGTGATGAAACATTCAAGTTCTGAACAAAATGTCACACCGGAAAGAGTGGTGTGTTTTGGGTACCATGTTTGTTAATCTGAGTAAACAGGTTTCATGAACAAATGCCTACCTAAGTTTGGCATATTAAACAATAAGGGTAAAATTGCATTTCTTCACTAATCTAGAAAGGAAACTTCCCTCTGCAGTCTTGGCTAACCTGAGCCAGGTTTGTGCTGCCATGGCACCCAGCCTCCGGTTTGTATTGAAAGGCACCCTGCCTCACAGAGAAACATGGCTTTACCTGATTATGTCTTTTCCTGAGACATTCAGGAATTCAGATTTCCTGGCCAAGGTTGATTTAGTAAATAAAAGGGCATGGTGGTACATATCTTTAATCCCAGCATTTGAGAGGCAGCGGCAAACAGATCTCTGCGTTCGAAGCCATCCTGGTTTACGGAGTGAGTTTCAGGACAGCCATGGCTACACAGAGAAACAAAAGAAACAAAGATAACCAGCCAACCAACCAGCCAACCAACCAACCAACCAACCAACCAACCAAATACATACATATGTGGGGCTAGAGAGATGGCTCAGTTCTTAAGAGTACTGTCTGCTCTTCCAGAGGTCCCAGGTTCAGTTCCTAGAACCAACATACAGTCTCTGACTCTAATTCCAGGGTATATGACTCACTCACAAAAATACAACATACAGGCAAAACACCAGTGCACATTTTATATATATATGTGTGTGTGTGTGTGTGTGTGTGTGTGTGTGTGTGTGTATACAAATTGCTGAAAGTTAATGTGGAGATGGATCTGCAGAGACTTAGCCGCCTGGGGAGAGAGAACATGGGCAAACTGAAGGCGAGTGAAGTCCGGCTTTGCGAGCACCTCTGCAGCCTCCAGAGGATCATCAAAGACCTGGAGAGGAATAGTGCAGAATCTGCCATTGTACTGCTCCAGGTAAGCCTGGGGAAGACCATTCCTTAATAGCCTTTGGGAACTGCAGAGTGGACAGACTCATTAAGGGTCACTTCCAGAATACCAGGTCCAGTGATCTTCAACCCAATGTGAAAGCTAGGCAGCCATTGTCCCCCTGCTAAAAGCATTATGAATACTGTTGATGATTCTGTAAGTCAGTACAGACATAGGGAGAACACTGAGCTTCCTCAATGCCCACTTTGAGCATATGTCTGAAGGAAATGAAATTGATGTGCTGCTGGGCGGTGGTGGCGCACGCCTTTAATCCCAGCACTTGGGAGGCAGAGGCAGGTGGATCTCTGAGTTCGAGAGTTCAAGGCTAGCCTGGTCTACAGAGTGAGTTCC